GCTTCAGAGGCCCCCAACGTTAGACACAATGATGATTGGTATAATTACTGTTGGAGGCCCTTCGAATGAATTATATGAATATAAGCATAATTACTTTCAAGATGCCGTTACAGTATACAAAACGAAGATGGGTATACTTACTAAATGGATGCCTTTAAAATGTAAAGAGCATATTACTGGATGCCCTTAGCATATAATTTAAAGAATACACGAATAATTACTTTAAAAATGCCCCTAAAGTGTATCAAATAAATATGGATATAATTACTTTACGAATGCAAACAAATATGTAAATAATATAACATGTTACTTGCGTGGGGTTCTTACAAGTTCTACGCCGTAGCTGTCACACAACACAACAGATGGTCTTAAGGCCACAAGGTAGAGCTGGACGGGAGATAACTCGTGTCTCCACCAGTCACAGGGTGCAGGTACGTGTGGAGAGTCTCAACCAGTCACAGGGTGCAGGTACAGGGGGAGATACCGGAACCTCCGCTGACGAGGGTGGGGCGAGACGTGGTTTATAATTCCACACTCGCACTTTCCTCGGCTGGTGCCCTTACCTGGGGAAACAATGGGCTCTCCTGGGTCGGGTAACAAATTGTTTTAACGGTGATCACCACGTCAAAGGTGTCTGGTGAATCAGCTTTGTTCGGTTGGGCTGAGGTGCGCGTCTGACAATTTATGCTTAGTTTTATTGCCTGTGAGATTGCTTTAAAGGGAGGGGGTGGGGAGAGGGAAGGAGAGAGTTGTCTTTTGTCGTGGAAGTTTAGTTTGACTGGAATTGTATTAAACGTGACCTGGGGGGGGGGGGGGGGTGAGGAGGGTTAGTTTTACAGAGGACGTGATTATCTAGGTCAGCAGTTTGTAGATGAAACAAAGTGGTAGGGTGAGCGTGTACCGAGGAATGGGGAGGGTGGGGGTGAACTGTTGGTTTACAAATGATGTGATGAAATAGGCCTTTGGTTTCGGACTACTGTAAGGGTGAGGTGTGGGGTGGGTGGTTGTGACTACTTTAAATGTGATGTGTGCGGTGGGTGGTTCGGACTACTGTAAGGGTGATGTGTGCGGTGGGTGGTTCGGACTACTGTAAGGGTGATGTGTGCTGCGGGTGGTTCGGACTACTATAATGGTGATGTGTAGGGTGGGTGGTTCGGAATTCTGTAATGTTTATATGAGGGGTGGGTGGTTGTGACTACTGTAAGGGTTTGTGTTTAACAGCAGAACTGTGTAGGTAAGAGAAAGTGAATCCATTCTTTTCTATTTTATTTAACTTACGTTTTTAACTAACTTTTTCAAATCAATGAGAAATAACTGGGGAAGGTCTTATAAACAAGAAAAATTCACACACACACACACACAAACACACACAAAAAAAAAACGTATCCATCAATAATCTTTTTATGACTATTAGCTCGACCCCCAAAATGTCATTTCATTAGTGACGTCCACTGGTGTTCATTTCATTTCTATTCGTTTCAAATTTTAATTTCTAAACACTTTCTAAATCAGGATATGAAATTTCACATATTAAACTTGTAGCCTAAAGTAATGTATATGAAATTACTTTTGAGGCTTAATTAGTCTTATAAAAAAATATTTGTACACAGTCCTCGGATTCTAAAATGTTAAAAAAACTTTTAGTTTGGAGCAAAATAGACAAGGGCAGTAAATGCTAGTGACTTAAAATGTGTTGACTTTAAAGGGTTAGCTCTTTTTATTAAAGAAAAAATTAACACTAAATTGTGTAATAAATCTTGTGTATTTTCCGTACTAAGTTCATGTTGAATGTCTTTTATCCATTTTGCAAATTGTCACAATTACAACTCTTACTTGACCTATGAACCCAATTACATGGTGGCGAAAATTTTTTTAACACTGTGTGTAACTATAGAAGACCCGAAATCGATTAAAGAGCAACAACCGAAATAAACAAATGCCATTGTCATGCAGGGTTAGTTATCCTGACAGCATAAAAAGCAACTTTCATTCGATGAGTTTTTTAATTAATAATTTTTTTTTCTCGAGACTGTTATGGTCACACTGTAAAATAAAAGACGTGTACAGGACCACAATTTTCAAGTAAAACATTTTACGTTGATCCTCCCTCCCCCTCCACTATCCAGGGCATTATTTAGAATTAAGAAGAAATAGTAATATATATTGCATGCACTGTAATTGTTTAACTAATATAACAAACATATTTTTTTCTATAATAACAAGCTTTAAAATAAACTAATAAAATTAATTCTTAAACATATTTTAGCTAACAACGCTATAATTAAGCAAATTAGTTTATTATTTATTATGAATGTTTTTTGTAATAACAAAATTTTAGTAGTAGTTCAGGATAAGCCAATATTAGCTTAATCTACTTTAATTTACTAAATGATATGTTCACAATATTCGCATATTTTAGGAGGTATTGTTAAAGAACAACTTATTACTGTAGGCCCAATTATATAATATTAAATAATTGTAAAGGAGCTGCCTGTAGCTTTGATAATTTAAGTCAACTTTTTAAGTGCGCAAAATTGCGCATTTCAAGTTTTAGTATTTCTAGTTTTTCTTTGGTAGTATGTTTGGTGGTAGTCTATGGCTTGTAATGCGCCTGGGGTATTGGTATGTATGTTTCTGTCAATTGAGTTGTTAGTGTGTATGTTTCTGTTGACTGTGGTGTTGGTGTGGATGTTTGTGTCAGCTAAGGTATTGGAGTGTATGTTTCTGTTAGGTTGACTGTATGTATAGATGTTTTTCAATAACTGTTGTTGTTGTAGCACGTGAGGTCTGACCTAAAAGAACATACACATTCCAAAGTAGAAATTAAATATAAGTTAGCAACTGTATTCTTTGTGAATTTATGTATTGTAAATAAAGTTGTGAAATGAACCAGCAGTTTATCTTCTGTCTTTGAAGAAAGAAGAACTCACAATAACATCTACTTGTCGCAATTACAACAGGCGGTTACACTAGCTAATATATGGTAAACTCAAAATCTTTGAGAACAGTAACAAAACTTCTGTGCGAAACAAACAAAACGTTTCAAAAAATTACTAGCTAAAATTAAAATATTTAAGGTGAATTGTGTGATTAAAATCAGTTAAAAAAGGTTATGTAATTCGAAACACTCCAGTTTTTACCATTTGTACTATAAAGTTAAGATCCTATTCGTTTTTTCTCTTTTATATCAAATCAGTTTCTGTAAACATGCGTGATGGTTATGTTTATAACATATATAATATATAACGTGGGTCAAGGCCCAATAACAATGCAATCTGATATCAATTGTACGTCTAATTAATTTTTGTGAATTAATTAAAATATCTTAATATAGTAGGGAGATCTACCACTACACCCATTTTCATGTTTATTTGGTGTACAAAGGTTTGTAATCATGCAACTCTTTTGTATTAAAATCTTTAAAGTACTTTAAAAAATTCAAATAAGCCTTTATTTTTATTTTTCGTCTTTAATTAAATTTAGTTTATACATTTAGTACATCGAAAAAAGTTCAACATACGTCCGTATCTTTAAATTCTCCATATGTTGCTGAAGATACTGATCTCATAGTCTCGAAAAATATGTGACGCAAAAACACACACACACACGCAAACACACACACACACAGAGAGAGAGAGAGAGAGAGAGAGAGAGAGAGAGAGAGAAAAAGAGAGAGAGAGAGAGAGCGAGTGCACATGGATTTTTAAATAATAATGTACATACATTGCAAGGCATATTTGTTTAATCTGTTGTAGTTAATGTGTACACACTTGGCAAGGCATATATATTTTCTTGACCAGGCATAAACATAATTTTCAATTCTACTTAATATGTACATACTCGGCGAGGCATCGGTTGTTGTCTGGTCCTGTGTGGTAGTGCATGAACATGGTTCTTTGAAGTAAAAACATACCCTAGTGGTTGCAATAAAGATGGTCTTGTAAACAGCCTGTGGTGTGAAAAATAATTACATAACCTTGTTCTCACGTTAATTTTTTTATTTAATACAATTTGACATTACGGTAATAAATTCCATGCATCTGAAACACTCACACAGAAAGATAGACTTACATGACACTTAAATGCATATTCTTTTATCTAGTTAAAATCGAGTTTTTTGTTTATTTCTTAATTAACTTAGATAATAATAGTTAATTACAGACATAATGTAATATTTACATTATTAAACTTACTTTTAGCTCACATATCACATTATCTTTGGATTTGGATTGGTCGTTGAATGAAAAGTGTCCAAGTATGGAATTATGAAGATGATGTACCTTAAAACTCATAGAACGTTTTCTACTTTTGAATTTTTCAAAAGCCTATAACTTGAGTACTGTTTCAGATAGATAAATGAAATTTTACATGTAAGTAAAAGATCTAATTCTCTGACTTCTTTTAAATTTAGAGTAATTTATGTTGACCGAAAGTAGTAATTTTCGCTATTTCCGATTTCTCAAAAAAACGCATGTGAATTTATAAAATACTAATAATATTCCGCACTATTATGCCCATTTTATTTGGCGTTCACTTGGTGTGCAATTATTTTTTCTACTAGATTTTATTCTATTTTAAAAGTTTAAGTATTTAAAATGGATTAAAAATCATGTCTATATCCGAGTTGCCATCCCCTGTTGTTTCAAATAAGAATATTGTAGAAAGTTTAGGGGATATCACTCCCGGTTTATTTACTCTTGCTTTTCTTTTTAACTAATTAATTTTTGTTTGGCCTAGGTTTGAACGAACATAACACTTCATTATATCCTTAGTCTATTCCACTGTTTAAAATGAACGTAAGCGCCATAGCGCTCAAGGGAAAGCCCTGGGGACCAAATCGCACTCTCATGGATGCCGCCCTAAATAAATATTATTTTTTTACAGAAACCTCTCCAGTTTATAAACTTATGAAAGACTCATATGTAAAAGACAACCAAGGGGGTGCGCATTTTAGGTTTTGCAATTTCCGTACCATTTTGCACAAAACTAAGGTAGTGGAT